GACCAAATATTACAGATTTGAACAAATACGCACAAAAACATCAAAATCATCACAGAAACAGTACTATATAACATTTTAGACACATTCTAGGCAGTTTATCAGCTAAAAAAAAGTTAATTTTGGGGTAAGTTACTCTTTTAAAGTTTTTCTGCAAAAACAAATAGAAAATGTAAAAAAAAAAAAAAAGAAGGTGCCTGCACCATTCTCAGAGTAAATCTTTCCCAGGCTGGAGTGAAAGTTTAAATTTATCAAGACACTGACCTGAGCAACGCAGCCAAGAAGAAACAGATGTAGAAAGTCCTGACCAAGCGAAAGTCTGGCCCTGAACCCAGAGTAGCGTTGGCCTGAAAACGCTTRTACACAGTTGAACCTGACGGAGCTGCAATGGCAAGGGAAACAAATGTGAAAAAAAAAGGTATAAAAGAAAAGTTAAATTGACCAACAGTTGTAAAATAACCGTACAAAAATAATTTTAGACATAAATGAAAATCTAAACTTGCAATTTAAAAAAAAAATTCTTCTCAGAAAAAAAACTTTATTTTGCCTCATTTTACTGACATAAACAAACAATTCCCATTCATTCTTGTGTCTTGGTGGCAACATTTGAAAAGCCTTTCATCAGGAGTAGTCCTGTTTAAATTTGGGTGCCAGATTGAACCAGAAGCACAAATATTTAGAGGAAAAACTGAAGACGTGAATCCCCCTCCATAATTACTTGTTTTATGAACTTTAGGGGTTCAGCTGAGGATTTAATGTGTAGTTGGATAAGTTGGGACTTTTGGCCACTTTTTAAACACACTTTTTAGAAGATAATAGATAATAGAGAGGTGATGGCACAACAAACAACCTTCTGTTGGCTCCGTAATTAAATGTTTTGTGTAAACTGTACTTTTTTTTTGTTAAAGCCACCATCTTCTCCACCATGTTTGTTGCTCCTTAATAAAAAAAAAACTTAACACCCTCGTGTAGTTTAGTGACTGTTATAGATATACTGGTAAAGTTTATACCTAATTTAATTAGTAGAAAGTTGGGTCATTGTGCAAAAAATACGTCTCTGAACCTAATTCAAACCATTGCTGAACTCACGATCTAAAGATTGGACTCTACGTGATTTGGCAAAAAAGTGGAACTTGCACATGGAGCTGTCTGAACGTTCTGCACGAGGGAGTTGTTTAGCAACTTCAGTTATTTAATTAATTTTTTTTTTGCGGCAGCAGCAGTCTTAGAGGAATGTTTTTGCCATTTATTTTCTCTCCACTCAACCGTGAACCGTGAGCCGTCTTCTACAAAGTGGTTTCTGTTTTGAGGTTTGCTAAAGCGATCCAGAGTTTAGGTGGAGTCGTGTGGTCGGCGTTCTCGTCTGAAAGACAAGCCGGCGCGTTGGCTGGCTCGCACGCCGTGTAATCAAGATCAGCAGGAAAACGGCTCAGAAAATGTGAGCTGTTAGGATCCATTTTGTAATTTTAGGCTCTCTGGAAAAATAAGGTTTCTGTCTCAGCTCTTCAAATTCCAGACTTTCGTTTTTTTTTGTTTTTTTTTCCCCTCCAGTTCTGTAAATATCATGTTCAGCTGTTAGTGGACGGTCATTTCTGTCAAGTGGATTCACAGACACGCTCTGTGTTTTTCCAGACTCTTTTCAGTTCACTTGGCAGAAAGGCTCCAAATATGGAGCCATCATTTTTGTGTGTTATAAAAAGAGGTGCCTGGCAGTGCGACAAGAGAGGTTATTAGGAACAGTGGAAAACAAATGTGACTGAAACACAAGAGCTCGTCCCTCTGCAGCCGTCTGCCCCTCTGATTATAATGATATTGCAGCTTTCTGATTGCATTCGAGTGTTTAAAGGCCCTGATACCMCCCCCCCCCCAAAAAAAATAAAAAAATAAAATAAAATCTTCCTCTTTGCCAAAGAGAGGGATTTAAACTCTCTGCAGAGTAAGTCATCATTCATTTTATAGCCCCAGTCTTGCATTCCTGTTATGATTCCAAATAGTCTCTCAGGCAGCTCTTGCATTATGCATCTGTTTATCTGAGGCATCACTTGTCTCTGTTTTCAATCTGCCCCCCCACCTCCCGATTCAGTCATTTAGTTTCTGCTCGGCAGCCATTGCTACCGCGCACTGCCCTCCTGCGTCAGCCCCGGGTCGCTGCACGTCTCGCAGACGAGATAAAAATAAAAGGCTTAGCGGCGTTGTGCCTGTTTTTGGAGTCTGGCTCTGGGATTAGATCAAATCTCCAGCGCCCACACCAGTCGGTAGGGAGGAGGTGGCTCCTCTGTTGTTTACTCAGCAGGGAGGCGCTCGGCACCTCCAGCACACACACACACCAACACATTATCTCGAGACACACACGTCTTGCCAGCCTCCATCTCATGTGGGTGCCACATCAAAGACAGCATGCTTGTGTTAATCCCCATCTGAGTCCCAGATGCTCTGTATTTCATCATTTTCAGCCCTTTTGGGAGTTTCTTGTTTTGTTTCCCCTCTTGCAGATATTTCCACAGGGTTAAAGTAAAGTACACAATCTCTGTGTTCCTGTTTTTTCCAGGATCTGCTGGATCATTCCTGCACTTCAGGAAGTGGCTCAGGACTCCCGTTTCTTGTTCAGAGGACCGTTGCTCGACAAATCACGCTCAACGAGTGTGTGGGTAAGTGTTTGTTAAAGACAGTTTACTCAAGTCACAATTCTCAAAGAGAAGAGAACAAAAACTCTGCCTCCTCATCGCTCCCTCTGGATTGTGCTGACGCAGGAGCCTGTGGCAAAAATGTGGTGAATTCAAGCTGCAAAGACTGCTCCCGGTTTCAAATGGAGCCTCAGAATTTGTCAGACTGTGACGAAATCAAATAGAAAACACGACCATATTGTCTTGTTCTGTTCTTGTTTTTCTTTTGACTTTATTCAGACAGGATTTAATTATAGAAACCATGAAAACACAATAACATCTTGAAGTCTGAGCTTCCAAACCGTTTAGTTTTGTTTTGTCTCCTTTGCCTCATTTGTAAAACCAGGTTAAGGCAGGGCATCTGAGAATAACAGTTCGAGCACCGACAAATCAAAAGTAATAATTGTTCAGAATTGCAAAAGAGGAGAGCGCTTTGAGAAACTGGGCCAGAGTGAACGTGCAACTGTCCTGCTGTGAAGTCCCCCAGAGCCAAGTTTGCAGTTTAGGTTAGAGATTGTTTGTGGTTTGTTGAGTGTCAGTGGAAATATTATCAGCAGCATAAACACAGAAGCAGGCAGAATGCCAAGTGGCTCATCTTGAAATTAGTTCATTAATCTTTTTCATGACCTCTGTGGCATCAAATACACACAAAATGATTTCTGGCCACCAGGGGGCAGTAAAAATCATTTTTTTTACTGACATCTCCAAATAACCAGAGGACAAAGTTCACTTTATGCTGAAGAAAATAATTACTTATAAACAGAAGAGATATTAGGCTATTAATTAAGCTTTCTTCCAGTTGAATATGAATCAACTACTTTTTTTAAATTTAGAGATTTTGACTCTTGCTTCTTAAGTGCCAGGCATGAGAAATGGCCAAAGCCAATAAAATATGCAGAGTTGTAAAGTAACTAAGTACAAATACTTTGCTATTGTACTTAAGTAGAAATTATGGTTATCTGTACTTGAGTAATTATTTTTCAACGAACTTTTTACTTTTACTCGTTACATTTTTACACAGTTATCTGTACTTTCTACTCACTACATTTTTTAAAAAGGTAAGAAGTAGAAAGTCATTACTCCTATTTTATTCCAGGTTGTTATTACTTTAAAAATACTATCCTGATAGATTGTGTCTCCTGGATAGAGTGAATTTAATTGTGGTTGGATGAGAAGTATACAGTATATACCATTCTGACACCATATTAGCTTGTACACAACCCATCACAGCTGCACGCCGTTAGAAAAAATATTTTTTGGAGAAGTCACCTCCCAATAAATGTCATTTTGGAAAATCTAACTGCTCACTTTTACTCAGTACTTTTACTTTTAATACTTAAGTAGATTTTGTGTCAGAAATTTACTTTTGATACTTAAGTACAAAAATTATCAGATACTTTAAGACTTTTAATCAGGTAATATTTTTAGAGAAGACTTTTAACTTTTACCAAAGTATTCTTATGATAAGATACTTGTACTTTTACTCAAGTATCACTTTAAAGTACTTTATACAACACTGAAAATATGTGACCCATCACATCGAAATGAGGATTAAGTCAAATTCGGTCAAAATGACCTAATCATATTTTCAGATTCCTGTCTTTAAAAGTTACATTTTAATACTTAGATCATCCTGATATCATTAGTAGATCCAGAGATATTATTTAATTTGTCTTGTTGGTTACAATAATACATAAATATTTGGTCTAAATCCTAATTTTATATAATTTTAATGAGGATTTTTATGTAATTTAAAAAAAAAGAAACCTCAAATAGTATTTGAATATTGAGATTTCCCAGCTGGAAAGAAACAAAAGCTTTGATGGCTTACAGTGAAAATCAACATTTTAAAAAACCTGGTTTTTGGTTGCTACTGCTCAAATAAGTGCTTCAAAATTTTTTTTAGGATAATATTTAAGACAGCTCATTGAAATGATACATTGATAACACATTTATTTGTTATATTTTGACAAAATGTAATTTTTGCAAGTGTTTTAATCAAAACACTATATCTGCCTATTTCTCCACATACAACTTTTAGACTTACCGTAATCCTCGTTTCGATGTGATGGGTCACGTTTTCAAGTGTGTTTTAATGCAAGGTTCTTAGCTCGATTAGCTTCAGTTTTATTTATTTATAGGTCTTTATGTTTCAWCTTCCCGCAAATTTCCTTCAAAAACAGCTTGTTCCTTCTCTGCGTGCCTCCCTGTTCTTAATTAAACGCCACAGATAAATAGTCACACATGCACGACAGATATTCACCTCCACGTCATCTGCTGTTCAGTGATATATGTTCTTTCCCCCCTCCACCTGTCAGGTAAGGGTCGATACGGCGAGGTGTGGAGGGGTCAGTGGCAAGGAGAGAACGTGGCCGTTAAAATCTTCTCCTCCAGAGACGAGAAGTCTTGGTTCAGAGAAACCGAAATCTACAACACCGTTCTGCTGAGACACGAGAACATCTTGGGTAAGTACCAGGTCAAATATGGGTTTGGTGAGCGACGGAAGATGGTTTAAGCTTTTATGTTAGACAAGAAAAAAAACTTTATCACATGTTTTGTGTTAGTTTTAAAACTTTTTGGATTATATTTTCTGATTACAGTAAAATTATCGAAGGTGTGAAATATCAAGTTCTTTAATTCTCTTTCCAAAAATGGTTCCAGCTGATTTTCAGCTCCATCTTRCTGTGACTGTTATTTGCACTCTAGTTTCCAGTTGTTGCACATGAGGAAGCTGTCATTTAAACATGTTTTCTCGGTCCAGGCTTCATCGCCTCCGACATGACTTCCAGGAACTCGAGTACTCAGCTGTGGCTCATCACTCACTTCCACGAAATGGGCTCCTTGTATGATTATCTCCAGCTTAGCACCCTCGACGCGTCCAGCTGCCTCCGGATGGCACTGTCCATCGCGAGTGGCCTGGCGCATTTGCACGTGGAGATCTTCGGCACCCAGGGCAAGCCGGCCATCGCGCACCGAGACCTCAAGAGCAAAAACGTATTGGTGAAAAAGAATGGGCAGTGCTGCATTGCAGACCTGGGTAAGAACTGTGTGTTTGTATAAATGTTGCACAGAACTGTATGTAAAACTCTTAACGTGTTGCAAAGGTTTTATTATGTTGGGTGACATTAAGAGAATTAGCAAATAACTACATTTCTATAATGCAACATTGAGAGTTTAACACAGAAGCTCATGCACAAAGCGTTAAAAGCTCTGCCCGTTTTAAAGCGTATTAGTTTGGTTATGAGGCGTATCTGCAGCAATATCACTTTATTTGTCTGGCTGCTCGCTCGTATTTGTTGTTAAATTAGGAAAAACAACTTATCCTGAAAGGATCACTCAGCCCTTAACCAGCAGCACATCTGCAAGAGCTGGGACCACTTTTATCTAATGCACCAATGTTCCATTTCGAAAACGCTTAAACAACATCTAATTCGCTTTAAAAGCAAGAACCCGGCCACAGACCTTACCTGTTTACGTGGAATAAATTCTGCTCTGGCTGACGTATTTCGCTGTGCCGACAAACACGGTAGCGGTTATTTGTCTCATCAGCGAGTTGTTATGTTGGAGAACATCCTGTATGCTGAAACAGGGCTGCTTGCTTTAACCAAGTAGTACTTTATGGTTTAATTCAGTCCGTTGAGTCCAGAGTGTTGTTTTCAAAGCAGCTGTTTAGGACTCTAAGCTTACTTCCATTCAGGAAAAAAAAGTTACCTGGGAGGCATATTGTTGGACATTCACTGTGGAGTTGTATAAGAGTGGAAAGATGTTTTTCTTGTATTGCGATGTTGATGGTGTTTTTTTTTTCTTCTCATTCTAGGTCTGGCAGTCATGCATTTCCAAGACACTAATGAGTTAGATGTGGGCAACAACCCTAAAGTTGGCACAAAGCGCTACATGGCCCCCGAGGTTCTTGACGACTCCATCCAGATGGACTGCTTCGAGTCCTATAAGAGAGTAGACATCTGGGCCTTGGGCCTGGTGTTGTGGGAAATCGCCAGGAGGACAGTGAGCAATGGTCAGTGCATGGTTCTGTTGGTCACATAAAATCTAGTTGTAGCAATAATATTTTTTTTTCCATCAGGAAAAGAAATCTTGCAGATTTCGAATTGCCACCCTGAATTTGCTTAGTTCAAATCAGCAAATGATCACCAAAACTTAGATGAATTTAATTATTTTCTGCTCTTGACAGAAAAGTTCAAATCAAATCTTCCCTCATTCCTTCCTGATTTTAGACCAAATTGTAGACAGAACTTTCAGACTGGTATTGTTTACTTTAAAAACAGAGTTCTTCAATGTGGGGGCCGTGCC